TTTTTGAAAACCTTGGAATATTTATGAAGGATAAGGAATCTGGTGAAGCGTTATTTGACAGATTATGGGTACAAAAAATACAAGATTTAAATTTAATTAATTGCATATATGTGTGTGTGTTTGTGTTTATTCTATTAATGAATTCAAATTTTCTTTAAAATTCATTTAGACTCAAGATTTGAATAAACATTTGTCTGAATACATGAAAGGACTAACCGCCAAAGTATTTCGTACATACAATGCATCTCGTACCTTCCAAATTGAGCTAAAGAAAGGGATGGAGAATGCTACTACTGTAACAGAGAAAATGGTAGCATATAATGAAGCAAACAGACAGGTTGCTATCTTATGTAACCATCGACATTCTGTCAGCAAGGCTCATATCAAAACCACCGAAGTAGACAATATGACATTCGCACTGAGTACATCAAAAATCAATTACATAGACCCACGTATTTCTGTTGCGTGGTGTAAAAAATATGATGTACCAATCACAAAGGTTTTTAATAAAAGCCTCCATGAAAAATTCCAATGGGCATTAGACATTGATGCAGATTGGGTGAGTATTTTTTTTTTTAGTTAATTTTATTAAATAATAATATACTTAAATTTATTTTTATTATATTGTAGGAGTTTGCAGTAATCTAACAAAATTTGATTGATTTGATATTTATATATCTAAACACATTAATAAGCAAAAAATAAAAAGTCTTTTTTTATTTTGATTGAAGGCATTAAATTTTATAAGCCATGAATAAATAGTAACCAATCAAATCAACGAAACTTTCACTTATCCTTTAAAACAATAGTAATGAAAATAAAAAAAATAAAAAGCAAGCCCAACATAAATAAAATAAAATGTTCATTCAATATCTTGCATACATAACTCTTTACATTATTCTATGCTCCTGATTTCCATTTTTCTTGGGAGAGATTATTAGTCTAGTCTTACGACCCAATTATTATTACTTTCATTTATTTTATTTGTAATTGTTTTCTTAGCAACTATTAATTCCTAATTTTTTCTATCTGTTCAGAACAATTAATACCATAAATAATCATATTTGTCAAATGTTCACAATTCCGGTTGGTTAAACAGTAATTGTTTTTATACTCAACACTTTCTGTTTGGGTAATCTGTCTTGCTGTCTTATTGATGATTTTCAAAACACAATATATCCATTAACATGATCTTTTACTAATTAGTTTTTTCTATAGGAAAGTAAAATCTGATAAAAACACCAGTAATTATTAAATTAACGTAAGGCACAATTAATTGAAGTCAATTAGAGGCAAACAACTGAGATATAGTTAACCAAATTTCAAAGTAATGGAATTTTCAGCAATATATAAGGCGGAGAAAAGAATGAAAAAAAAAATCATAGTAGAATTAAATATGTTTAGGAAATAAAGAAAAGGAGGTTGGAAAAGAGGAAAAATTTACCATTGACAAAAAAGAAACAAGTTCATAATCATTACAATATATAAGGCGGAGAAAAGAATGAAAAAAAAAAAAGCCGGTTGGAAAAGAGGAAAAATTTACCATTGACAAAAAAGAAACAAGTTCATAATCCTTACATATTATAGAAAAAAGCCGTTACCAATCTCTTAATTATTATTATATATATATAAAAGAGAAAATTTTACTTTATCTAAAGAATTTCTTTAAATAATCAGGTAATTTTATTTCAATCCAACATGACAATTTTAGTTTAAATTTCCATTTGTAATGTGCAAATGAAGTCCTTAGTTTTTGTTTGAAATTAATTTCCTGAATTATTATTATGGTTTCCATTCTTTGGAAGATACAACAATCAATCCTAATCAAGTAAGAACATTATTATCTTATCATTTTTACTGATCAATTAATCCATTAAAGCA